TTGATCTTGAGAGGTGCTGTCAGGTTGAAGATATGTAAGTAGAGCTGGGCTATTCGAGTGCCATTTGGCTAATCGAAAGCCTCCTGACAGGCAGAGCTGCGTCACCTGGTGAGCGGTCCTGAGTAGTTCTTCAGCTGAATCAGCACCTCCGCAGATATCGTCAACATATCGTCCTTTCATGAGCGGTTCCACAGCGAGGAGATACTTCGACACTTCATCCTCGACGAGCTGATGAAGCACACGTATGGAGAGAAATGGAGCTGACCTTGTGCCATACGTGACCGTGGTGAGCTGATAGGTGACGATATCTCCGTTTGAGTCGGTCCATAAAATTTGTTGGAGCGGCCAGTTATCCGGATGCACTCGAATTTGACGAAACACCTTTGTGATGTCCGTCATAAAGATGAGCTTGCGCCATCGCGTGAATAGCAGCACGTCTGAGATGTCCGCTTGGGGCTTGGCTCCCGTGTGCATGATCTCGTTGAGCGATTGTCCTGAGCTGGTCTTGTTTGAGCCGTTGAATACGACTCTGAGCTCCGTTGTCTCACTGCTTGCCCTGAGAACTCCGTGATGAGGGAAGAAGTACTCCGGCGTGGAATGGGCCTGAGGAGACCACGTACCGCCTGAAACCCCCGTGAGCTGATCCGAGAGAGCTAAACTACTAGATGAGCCGGCTACTCTCCGCATGTGATTCAATTCCTCCTATTCCTTGAGGAAGGCTGAATAGAGCTGTCGATAGTTCTCGTCCTTAGAAAATTTGTTGAGCAGTCGATGAAGGCCAGCTAGAGCAGACGATCGTGAGTCACCGAGCTGTTCTGGTGAGTCGATGAGCGGAAGTCCTACAACGTAGCGCCCTGAGCTGTCCCTTGAATGAGTGCGTTTGAAGTACTCCTCGCACTGAGCCTCGAGATCTGTGAGCTGAGCCTCTGGTTCCTCCGGAACTTCCTCCTGAACCCAGAATTTTGTGAGCAGGCTATCGAGCTCTTCGTTAGAGACCAATATGTGCGCTGACACGGCTGGTTGAGCGGAGCTCGGACCTTCCGTTGGTCCGAAAATGATCCAGCCGAAGTGTGTGCGTTGAGCCGTAGGAGCGTAAGCTCCGTTTGAAATGACCTCTGCTTGAATGAGCTGTCCGTAGACGTCAGCACCGAGGAGTATGTCAATCGGCGCCGGCGTGAGAAAGTCAGGATCAGCGAGCTGGAGTTCCTCCAGATGATGCCATGTGAGCTGACTTGATGAGAATGTCGGTAGCGAGTTGGTGAGCTGGCCGAGAGCATAGGCAGAGACCCTGAGTTGAAAGTTAGAGTGAGTGGACTGTATAACGGGCTGAACCTTGCCTAATGCCGGCCCAGATGTCGCGTCTCCAAGTCCCGAGATTCGTAGCTGCGTCTTAAGTCGTATGAGCCCAAGCTGACGAACGAGCTGATCCGAGATGATAGAGATTTCCGATCCGGGATCAATGAGTAGACGGACCTGATGAGCTGGACGGTCTGGGCGTACCAAAAACCCAAGGCTGGTAGCCAGAAGGACACCAGGACGGAAATCTTGAGCTGAGCTAGGAGCTGACTGACGAGCTGAGCAGGAGACGGCAATCTGAGCTGATGAGCCTCAGATCTGGTCTGCCCATGATGAGCTGGGGTTGACTGGAGCAGATGGAGGTTGAGCTGGACCTGCAGGCTGAGCCTTGACCTCAGTCCTGTCCCCCTGCTGAACGTAGGTCACTACCGGCACAGGTTTCGGTTTGGTTGAGCTGGTCTGTTGCCTCTGTTAAGCCGGACGTTGAGGCTGACTCGATGGTTGGCTATGCAGCATCGAGTGGTGGAGCTTCCCACAGTACTGGCAGGTGGTCTTTGACCTGCAGTCCCTGACCGAGTGTCGTCCCAGGCAGTTGTAGCAGAGGTAGCGCTTCTCCACTACCTCCCTACGAGCTGGCACGGTGAGCTGACGGAAGGATGAGCAGGACG